GTTGAGTTCATTCTTGTACCGAATTTTGGAAGCGGAACAGCAGCAGCAAAAGACAGCAGCAGTAGCAACAGCATTGGAATCAACCGCAGCCGTGGAGCTGCATCGCTCTTTCGTGTAGCCGTGATCGAGGCTAGAAACCTCGGTCCGGTCACGACATCGACCACACAGTGTTGTGCCATATTTCCGATCTAGTAGCTAACCCTCCGGAAATTCAAAAGTACGACGTAATTAAGACTACTCAACCGCTAAGAATTTTCAGCGCAGACAAAGATGGATCGATTGCTTGATACCTGCGCTATTGGCGACATGAAACCAACCTGCTTGCTTGCATGCAAGATCTTGCAGCAGGGTTAAATGTCGACGGCAGCCTGATGAAATTGCTGTTCCTCGAGCGGTTACCAGCAAACGTCAAAGCTGTTTTGAATATTCAGGACGGAACTCTCTCAAAACTGACAGAAATGGCCGATAAAATTCTTGATTCCGTATTTCCATAAGTAGCAGCGATATCTGCAACAGCTTTGATATCGACTGCTGATGCTGGGCTCGATCGGGCAAATTGCGTATTTGATAGCTGAAATCCGTAAGTTGAAAACCATAGGTGTGGATACCAGCGCCTCGCAGCGCACAGATTCAGGATCGCTTGTTCGTTTCCTAGTTGATACCGGATCCAATGAATCCATCGTTCCAGCTACTATCGCGGATAAAAGGAAGTCTCCATTAGCGTTTTTGTTTCATGCTGTAAATAACACAAATATCAAAACGTACGACACTAAATTCCAGTATACCGACCTCGGATTGCGTAAGAGGTTTGCATTGCGATTTCTGGTAGCTAATGTCAAAACAGCTATTCCAGGAGCCGATTTTCTTAATCCGAAACATTGGCTGTGGATTTGCAAAACCTTTGTCTTATCGATGCTACCTCGGTTGAAGGTGGTATATAGAATTCTAAGCAGCCTCATTTTTAAGTCGTTATAAGAACGTGAAAGTTCCGGTACCATAATTGAAGAGAATTCTAAGCAGCTTCTGGTGGAACTTGAAAGGAACTTTTAGAAAATAAATTAAAAAAGGTTTTTGTCCTTTACACCAATTCTATATATAGTTCGCACTTTTATGAAAGTTATTTCTTAAGGCAGGTCTTCATGAAAGTTATTTCTAAATACAGGTATGAACGTATGTATTGATTTATCAGCAGTAGTAGAATTGGAGCTGTTTGAAGAATTAAACCCAGTCCTTCTGCGTGAGAGCTCCAGCACAAACCGCTACGTCATCTGAGATATATTAAAGTGAGCAGTTGTCCCGCCTACTGTTGTAGTTTTCAGCACCGACAAACCGACATGAATGACCATAGCAAAAACAATAAAATTTCTGACCAAAGCACACTACTGACATCTGGCTCCGTGTTTGCGGGAAATATTTAGCCAAGCCATGAACCCGCATGCAAAATTTATGAATTGGTTCGTGTCTGATCTATTCTGGACAAATTATTTTTATCTAGATAAAAAATCCTACGGTTTTGACAGTTCGGATCACTGCACATTTAAATCGGGTTTAATTTTTCAAACAGCTCCAATTCTACTATTAATGTAGATAAACCAATACTCATTGCCTTAAGAAATAACTTTCATAAAAGTGCGAAATAAATATAGAATTGGTGTAGAGGACAAAAACCTTTTTTAATTTATTTTCTAAAAGTTCCGTTGATGTTCCGCCAGAAGATGCTTAGAATGCTCTTCAATTATGGTACCGGAACTTTCAAGTTCTTATAACGACTTAAAAATGGGGCTGCTTAGAATTCTATAGACCACCTTCAACCAAGCTGCTTAAGTCACACATAACCTTTTATCAGAACTTTTGGTTAATTGGGGTAGATCGATTTACACGATGGCCCGAAGCTGGCCCAACAAACAATTGCCTATTGAAGACATGACTTCTTGACGATTTAACCAACTGCATGCTTAATAATACTCGTACTATTTTGAATAATAACTTCTGTTCAGGTTTTGTTCCCACAAATCTGGAGAATTTATTCAACCACAACATCGAAATATTTGGTAAGGTATGTCGAGAAGTATTCGACTTACAAAAGTTGTAACAGAGCTTATTCGATAAAATTTTTGATTATTCAACGTTTATTAGACATCATTACTTACCTTAAACAGCGATGGTATTAAAGGTGTATACAAACGCTTGATTCTCATGTAAAATAATGTTTATTTAGACACTATTATACATTTATTAAACGATTATTCAACTATGGGATAATTAATCCGAAAATGAGAACGGGACAGAACAGGGTTGTTTGTTAGTGATGTTGTCTCATTATTTCTGTTGAAGCACGCACCCACCACGCAGATACTAGAAAGTTTATTACATACATATATACACACATGTCGTTAAGATGGGATTCGAACCATGACATTCCCGATCATCAGCCGCTTGCCTTGCCATCTGAGCTATCCTAGAATTGATATCATATGGGCAGCTAAATAAGCAATTAAAGCTTGAATCTGAATACCTATCAGCACTCCCAGCCACTCTAGCTAGTTCAAGGAGATGTGAGAATGATTAAGACACCGTTGATCGAACTGAGTTTTCAAAATAATTGCATCTTACCTCCGACGAACTCAGAGCCAGTCAAACCATAGAGGTAACTCTAAGACCACTGGGTCCCGAAGAAAATCATTATTATTTTTGGCTCACTCAGTACCAGAACAACGGTCCCAAGCAGTCCCAAGCTATTTCACTCACCCCTGCATGTTCTGCATGAATCCACACACCCCTGATGTTATCTGTCAAACTTTCATAGCGAATCAAAACAAACATAGTGTAGTAATAGAATTTCAACTAGAATAGGGTACGTTAATCGTTTGCTTGGGACCAATAGGCTACTAAAGTGGTGAGCCAATTTAAAATCGTTAGTTTCGTCACAGACAAACAGACGTAACTCTTCATTGTGTATCTTCGTTCATGCATTTAACGGTTGATTTGAATATTATCAGTTCCACGAACTACTCGCAGCAGCGCTGGCATCGGATCACTTTGACGTTTCTATATATTCTATAGAAATTTTATGCAATATTGTTTACGAGTTAGCGAGTAAGCTTGTTTTCCGCGTGAAGCCAGATAGATGTCGTTACTGAGGTTATATGTTTTGAGATACTATGTTTTCAAGAACAAGTTTTTCAAAGAGTTACGTCTGTTTGTCTGTGGTTTCGTATTGATTGTTGGTCAAACGAAGCACCATTCTCGCAAGACGTTCCAATGTCAATAAAAATTGAAAGATTGCACTCACGTTGCTGTCCGTCATAATGCGGTAAAAAAGCCGCTTCGAAGACCCTACGATGGTCCCTTCGAAGTTCTCGATCGAGGAGAAAAGTTTATGGACATCAGCATTAACACTCCGAATACGATGGCACCGGAAACATGTGTAACGACAAACATGCAGTTTTTGAAAAATCATAGCTCAGCCATGTATTGACGAATATCAAATCTATTACCGCCATTTGAAACTTCATACCTTAAAGATGTATTCGGTATCAATAAAGGAATCAAAAATATCTCCAAATGACAAAATGACAAGCGATCAACGAACCGAATAATAATGCAATGTCAGAAGTGGAAAGCAATAATAATATAATCTTCTCCGTTTTTTTCATGACAAGCAGCCCGTGCGACACAACTCACTCGGGGCGGTAGAAGGAAACGAGTAAATTGTTGGCAAGCTGCTTCACGAAGTAAACCCGAAGATGATACACGTGTGTTAATGAGATTTTTTTGTTATGTCTTTTCTCGATTCATATCAAGCTTTTTCCTCATCCGTGCATATTGCAACAAAGCAGGCAAGCAATATATCATTATCCTTCTACCACGCGGATCGAGCTATGTTACAGAGCGAGTTTGTCATGGTAGTCGTAGCAACCGTTTTGTCTGTATCGTTGGTTGCTTTATGTGTTTGGATTCACTGGTATCAATAGATTCCAAAGCGCAAAGAATATGTTTGTCGCTGTCTTCATAAAATGGCTCGTCACATTGTGCACTCTTTATAAGCCGAGATAATGCATCTGCCGAGGCACCTGCAATGTTAGAACGACCAGGTATGTGCTTTACTGTATAATCATAGGCTTGAAGTCTAACAGCACGCTTTTCTGCCTTAATTCTCCAGCCAAATATGAATTAGTTTGCTTCCGAATCCGAATCAAGAGGTAAAATGAAAATCTTTCTTCTGCCCACACCATCGCTAACGATTCCTCTCCGCATTTTTAATGCTTTCGAAGCACACGATGTTACTCTGGCAACCCCAGCATTGGATGATCATATTGTGCTATTCTCTACCCTTTTTAGTACTTTATATCCTCTTTAAATAGTTTTGTGTACTTACATTCCTCATTAAATACATTTTAGTACTTTTAATCCTCTTTAAAAACCCATTACCCATTGCCCATTAAATACTTTCGCGTATTTTGATTCCTTTTTATATACTGTTGAGTACTTTGTATCCTCTTTAAATACATTTGAGTGTTTTAATCCCCCATTAAATAGTTTTGAGTACTTTAATCCTTTTTAAATACTTTTGATTACTTTGATTCCTCTGAAAATTCTAGTGAATTCTCTTTAAATCCCGTGTAGTCTTCTAGTATTTAGAATACAACGCACTCAATACGCTCAATACAGTGTCCTGCGTGCGATTTCTGGTAAATAACCTCGTAAATAACTGCTAAATCTCGGAAACTAACAATAAGATAAGGTAGAGGAATTATTTCTCCAATGGGTCACCAACACTTTCTACTGAGTAATATTGGAATACTGTGTAGACCACAAAGTATCGGATCAATTGCCACAGACCTCAGATCCTTGAACTGTGTAACTGTCAATTTGAAATTTGGCGTAGTGCTCACCGGAAGGTGCGCTGCCATCACAATTCTGACGTTTTATTGTATTTATTTTATTTATATGTTGATCTGTCAGCCGAGTTGTCAGATAAGCAAGCTGGGACAAAACATAATGCAGTCTCGCGTGAGGAAAACGTAAAAACAGCCGCATAGCTAGAGTTCGAAGAGGAACCGTCGGTCGAAAGTTGCGAATATATCTTGCAAAATTGGGCTCTTTTATCAGCTGTACCGTTATCAGTGTGTATACGAGATTCGGGCAATTTTGGAAGCTTGTTTTATGGGATTAATATGAGCTGAATTTTCGCCATTGGTAATTTGATCATTTTCAAGCAACCGTTATTAGGAACTTTCTGTTTTGCGGTGTCGGTATGCAAGTGTTTATTTTTGGACTAGTGCTTTTTGTCAGTGTTTTTATTGGTAATTAGCTTTCAGTCGAAAATTAAGAGAAAGCTGTAAATATATTTCCGATATCAGTGATTTGATAGGAAGAATTAGTGTAAGAGAAATAACGATCGACTAGGTGTTTACTGTTGATTAAGTGTAATATTCAGTGATAGTCGGAAGGGCGTGAAAGTGGAATTCAAAGGAATTCGGATTCCAGAAATGGCCGATGATTATTATTTGCATAACAATGTATCAAATAGCGACGACTCGGAGTCAGAACTAAATCTGAGCACTCCAGAATTAAAAGGATATCTGAGCAAATGGACCAACTACATCCACGGATGGCAGCCTCGGTTCATCGTTCTCAAGGATGGCACATTATCATACTACAAAAGTGAGCAGGACAGTGACTTCGGATGCCGTGGTGCGATCAGCCTGCAGAAAGCCACGATTAAGGTGAGAGCCACAAAAGACGGCAGGTAAAGAGCCGCAATCGACGTTTGTTATCTTTCTCTCTGTATGTTCAAGTAAAATGATACTGTATTTTGATTTACCTTATTCCGGTAGTATCGTAAGTCCGTCTGCATTGCTGTTGATTTGGATTATTTGTATCGTACATGCACAGCTTTTGACAGTCGTCCATACTTTTACTAGAAGGCTTTATTCTTTTAATTCGTTTTAGTTCACTGATAAATTGAAAAAAAAATCCTATTTTGCTTCAAATTTAATCAATTTGACTTTAAACTCAGTTTAATCATATTGAAACATTAAAAATAAATCATCTCTTTCGAAAAAAAAAGCATCTGATATTAATCCCAGTTTAATCATGGTTGATTAGATTGTAGATTTTCTTTTTTTGAATAAATTTGAATCATTTTAGATTCTATTTTAATAAGTTTGATTGAATTTTAATCTTTTTGGATTATATATCAGTATTGAAAAACAATAAAATTTAATACTGGAAAGATTATTTCGATTTTAATCATGCATGACTATTGCCGAAGTAATCATGGCTCGGACTCAATAAGGTAAAGTGGGAAACTGCATACTTTTTAAGTTTTTTATGATTTAATTTATCTTTGTGTGTTCTTCAGATCGAAACCGAACTTTTTGTCAGTGCGAACCTCAAGCTGAGCTAGGTTTAAAAAAAAAAACGAACAAACTGACGTTTGTCAGAAAACAAGCAGACCCAACCTTGATACCCGATCCAGGTTGGAACTGAATAATAAACGAATTCGCTATAACATATTTTCCTAAAAACACCAAAGCGTTCTCAGAGAAAAAATCAGCATCACACATGTTTATATTATGTTAGTGAACGGCACTAAAGTGCAGATACTAGATACTAGATACTAGACAACCTTTTTTAAGATACCTCGAATGAAACATAAGTGAAGCCCTCACGACAGAAGTTTCTTCAATACGTCCCACAATATTTTTCACAATAATTTTGGTTGATCATCATGGTCCCATGCTTGTCTGAGTCCTTTTTTTCACTTCGTTTATAAAATAAGGCTCAAATCGAATATATACAACCTGTATTAATCCACCTATGGAGAGGTTACACTTCTTACTAATATTCATTCTAACAAAAGTTCTCATTTGATGTTAGATGATATATTAATTTTGAGGTGTCGCTTGATTGCCCAAGTAAGGCCAAATGTTGATTAATTTTTTTGTTCTTGTATAGGACAAATAAATGTATTTTCATATAAAAAATGGTGAACCGTTTTTGGTACCACTATAAAATCTTAAAAGCACACAAGGTGGAGCATATGAAACTTATTTCATGTTTTTAAATTAACTTCAATATTTTTCCAGTCATATGTTTAGCATTCAAACAGATGCATTTAAAACCTTTTAAACGCCTTTTTAATGTACGAATTTAGTTTGGAAATAGCATGATATTTATTCAGAATATAGCAGATATAATTTGTGTTCGCTGAAGAATAATCTACTGTTAAAATTTCAACAAAATATGTGGTTTACGAAAAAACTGCATATTTAATAGTAAAATAGTTAAAAATACGCCTAAATGTTGGCAATACACATCACTTTGTCACATAAAATAATTTTTATGATAAAATCACTCATTTTAACAAAATAATATTTCAGATTCAGATTCAGCGAACTAAAATTGTGTAAAATAAGTAATTACACCGAACACTGCACCTGAATGAATGTAGATTCTGATAGGATATTTAGAAATAGTTAAACGTAGTAGTAGTAGATTTAGAGTGGTAGAATTCATCGGTTTTTTAGGGAAAACGTTTCACAAGTTATTTTATACTACATCATGAAATACTAAACAAATATCATGAAAACGGATTGTTGAGAAACAATAATTGAATGGTGAAGTGTTCAACTTCACCAAGCTTCCCGGTGGTTAGAAACATTAATAGAACAAATTTATGCCAGTGCCAACAAGGTGTTCAGGACTAGGTTCAAACCATGGACTCCTAGCATGTTACATCGATATCCTTATCAGGGCTGATAAATGTAATTTTTAATGAAAGATCTCACGTGATATTTACAGAGATCCTTCTGTCTCTAGATGAGAATACAAAGATAGAATTTTTATTAAAAATCTCATCGTTTTTTTTTTTGTCATGACAGAACGTGACAGTGTTAAGAACATCGCAATTACTGCTCTTAAATTCAATGTAAGATTTGATTCATTAAATCCTCTGCATATATTTTATACAACAAATAATGTAATGGAAGTTCTTGCAACAACCAGTTTTGCCAGAATGCATATTTTTGTATAAAACCTTTACGAGATGATTTTTTAAACTCAATGCATTTGGTAAAACAAATTTTGTTCGAAAAATAAATAACGTACAAATTTTAAAATTATCACAAAAAAACTTTCCGGCGACCACATTACAAAATCTATTCATTTCGCGAAACATTGCAAAAATTTGCATACTTTTCATGCATATCTGTAATAAAATCTTACATTTCCCGGTTGGGCCTAGAAATTTCAACTTCACAGGTCAACTGTGACCAGTGGTGTAAGCGGTCACCGTAGTCGACACGTTTTCTGCGATTATCGACTGCCTTTGCTTCCGACGTTTGCAAAACAAGCTATCAAAGGACAGTACCAAACTAAAATGTCATATGACAGTCTCTGTCATACGACATTGTCGTCGAAGACCGTACCCCATTCCCGGCCAATTAAGCACAACCCGCACTTATACCCCGTTCACATTACAGCCTACGCTGTCTTGCAATGAGCACTCATACATCTAGTTTTCACTGGAAATGTTACTATGTTACTGGAATGTTACTGTTACAAATGGCTTCCAAATTTACTTACCTTTCCATATGTACCGTTAGTTCTGATAAGGGGTCATGAAATATCCGTTTATTGTTGAAAATGTAAAACTGGTACTGGCGGCTCAACTTGACCTACGGGTTTTCTTTGGCCTATTAGCTATTAAAACGCCATTGGGATTCTCTTTGGCCTATCGAACGGATAGAAAAGTTAATTCACGTGCGCCTTTTGTGCTATTTATCAATTTCATCCAGATGAACGCATCATTTGGACGATCTTAATGGAAATTTTTGGTTGCGATTGAACATCTAGTCGATTTCAGAATTTATGTATGGGCCCAAATTAGGGGCATTTAGGCCGACATTACATCCGTTTCCCCTACCAAACGTTTGTTTGAAACGTTCACGCCGAAATCATAGATATGATGTTTTGTGCTTGTTTGGCCGGGAATTGGCTATTAGGCCGAAATAGATGTTTCCCTTATTTTAGTTTTCAATTAAATATAGTAATATCATTTCTGATCAGATATGGTTTAATTTACTCAAAATTGAGGAATTAAAACGAAATAACACATTGTCATATGATAGTTATTTGATAATATTCGTTTTATTCGAATGTTGTTCTACCGTTTGTATTGTGTGAGAAAGACGATGGTAGAGCAGGAGTGTACGAATACAATCAGACTGTCGTGCACGACAATGAATTCATTCTGATAAGATGTCTACGAATGGCTTCTAAAAAACCGTGGAGGTCTAGGATCAGTTTCATGTATTGATCACTTTTACGGATGTTCCGGATCTTCCACAGGAGCAGACTTGTGTCCTACCGGAAACTAACTCTTCACAAAAGGTGGCCACCTATCTGCTTAACAACTTCTCCAAACACATCAAGCAGTTATCTCTTCAAATTGCCGTACAATCAGTGTTTGGTCCCAATTAGCTCAAATCCCACGGATCGACGGATAATCTTAACAATTTTTTTTTTTAGGTTTTAAGAATTTTATTCCTTAGTTTATCAAACTTAAATACCAGCACGAAGTTGAAAAATTAATTGAAAGTTGTGACAAACTAAACAAAATAAGTGGTGTTGATTATAGAAAATTCTAAGAGAGGATATTTTAGGCCATAATTGGAACACACCATAATAGGATAGTATAGCCATGACTGGTAACATCTACGCAATATCTAGGAGACCAAACAGCATCAGACGGTGGAACCAAGGATGACATGGATGGACGAATTGGAAAGGCTAATAGTACATTCAGACTACGGCTGATATCATGTAATAAGACTGCCTTGCAATGAACACTCATTCGTCAAATTTTCAATGCGAATCATTTGTATGAATTTTGATATCAAGAAAGCCTATATTACATGATATCAGTGTAGTATAATATGTTCAATGAGGCTGTCTTTGTATGTTTGGAGCATGTGAAGCATTTGAACATCAGATCAGATACGTTGCAGACCGAAGCCCCGCTTTTCAACTCGAGTGAGAGATCTGTACGCCAACGAAACAATGTGCGTGCCAGTAGAGAGCAGCCTGGGATGGGTTTCAAAGCATATTCGTGAAGTATCCAAATCGTAGCAGAAGGTCAAGGCAACTCTGGAGTAAATTACAATATTGGTTAAATTTGTTAAATGTTTTTTTGAGTGAATTACCTGTAGAGAATTCCTACAGTATTATGAAGCAAATGAAGGGAATATAAGCACCGACGAACTGACGTGACAGCTAAAATACGTTAAACACTAACGCTATCTACTTATCCGATCGCATCGTATCATGAGCAAGGACATGAACATACGTAAAATGCAGAAACGTTGAACATAGACACGCATAGAATGAAGCAAGAAGAACCAAACGAACCGTCAAACGCTGATTCAAACGAGCAAAGTAAATAAACATTACGGTTCGCTCATTTCACCAGAAAGGAGTATTGTTCTCAATGATGAAAAGAGTTTTAAATTATTTTCACGAAATATTTGGTATCTGTTATTTATTTATTTAGTGTTAATTCAATTAAATACAACATTTATTAGTGAGAAAAAAGCATTTTGAATCGGAACGTTTTATTTAGTTTTATGTTAAATAAAAATAGTTAAAAATATGACAAAATGATACTGTCATGAAGCGACTGTCATCTCTCTTCTTCGCTTTTTTATTCAGTTCCGGTAGAACATTCAAAATTTTCTCAACAGCATTGCGGCACTGAATGTAAGTCATTTGAAGCCACTCAAAGAAACATGATTGCCAGAGACATTTCCAACAGATCCCTCAAAAACCGTGCTGCTGTTTTGACAGAAATTTTCTTTGCGCGTCTCTATAAACGTCTCTGGTAAAATGTACATTGCCTTGATTTGCGTCTTGCTTTGTAGCTGCAACTTTCCCGACTGAGCTAAGGGAGGTCCGTACTAAGAAAACATAAATCTTCATTCAAAAATAAAATAGCATCATCTGCAAAAATATTAATGTCACGAAACCATGTAACACGTCACATGTCATTAATATAAATAATAAATGAAAGGGACCCTAATACACTTATCTAAGGCACTCCAAGATTCTTTCCCAAGGTACTGGAAACAGAATCATTAAAAACAGCCCGTTGAGTTCTGTCAGACAAATTGCTTTCAAAGCATTCTGTACATTTTAAATAGGCGATCCGAAGCTTTCGGTGGGTGTTTCAGTGGTACTATTTTTTTTTAATAGTGTCTCTTTCAGCTACACGGTGAGCTACCGGAATCAAGCGAATATCAAGATTTTGCATACAGGTTACATTACATTATACTGTAATTGTACTGTTTTGTTAAATTGCAGTATTTGTATTTTTTATATTTCGAAATTGGCAAATCTGTCTTAATATTTTTACGCAATATACAACTTATACTTAGATGAAAGAGCATTTGGAGGTTCACCGTGAATCAGTTGTTGATAAGCGAAAGCGATCATTCGTTTACGCCCCCATATGAATCATACCACAAGTGGCGCTACAGTGGTATGCAGGCACTTGATTGCATCTGGTTACTCGGCATATAGCCGGCTAATGGTGGTATTCATGATTTCATTGAAACAATGATGATTTAGTGAAATCAAATAAATGAGTCAAATTGTCGACCTTGAGTTCAAACTCATCTAAAAGTGATGGCGTAATCAATTGAGACTAATACATTAGACCGTGTATCTGATATATTTCCTTTGTGTTTTCTTTTGCAGTCACATGAATTCGACGAATGTCGGTTTGATGTATCGATTGGCCAAAATGTGTGGTATCTTCGAGCCGAAACACCGGAGGATAAACGAAACTGGATTGAAGTGCTTCAGTCATATAAGACTGAATATCCCGAAACGGTGAGCCTACGCCGCCATGGAAGTACCATTTCCTTACAGTCCAATACCTTATCCACGGCCAGTGGAAGTAGCTTGAAACGGGTCAGTCGCGGTTTGCGTGAAAAAATGCACGAAATCGAAACATACCGCGACATACTATATGGGCAGATTGACACTTTGCAACGGTAACACATGGTTCTGGTTTGTCTTAAAATTATAAACTAATTGGAATTTTGTTTTAGTTACTTCGATTCCCTGCACCAGAAGAATGAAGACAATAGTCCGCTCGATTTGGGCGATGGCTTGCGACCGATTGATTTCAAAGGAGAAGCAATAACATTCCGTGAAACCACTGCCGGTGTCATTACTACTTTACAACACTGTTTGGATATTATTTCTCAAAAGGAGGAGAGTTTCAAGAAAAAGTTTGACAGAGAAGTTGACAAGCGGAAGAAAGCAGAGGAGCAATATAGGTAATCCAGAAATGTTTATAATCTTTAAACAGAGTTTTAAAAATAATAATAATTGAAATGCAAAAGATAGGTTTTCATACAAAATTTACAATTTCATTAAAAAAAAATAATACTAACACTTCAAATCAGTTTTCTTGAAGGAACATACACATTCAATATTCCTCGGCAAAAACTCGGTTATCTGATTAGCTTGGCTTTTATTTTTGCTGAAATTTCAAAATATGTTGTTAGCTGAGCTTTAACCAGAATCCCGTTTGTTTGCTGAACCTCAGCCAAATTTAGAATACTGTATGCGGAAGCCTTATCAGTCGTCATGGCTATCAATTTCCTCGCTCATGGCAGCGAGTTCCCTCGCATGTATTTAAAACAGCCCGTGGCCCGCCGAATGAGTTTGTGGCCCCCGCGGAAAGCTTTCAGTCAATGGACTGCATCCGGCCTGCAAACTGGTAAATCATTTCTAATACTTTGATGTTATAACAATCTCTATAATAAAGCATTAAAAATGCTGCAAGCTATAAATAGCTTCGCCTAAAACATTCAGTATACGACTGTGTTTTTGATAAAAGAGAATGTATGTCATACAATCTGTTTTCGCTTTGACTCATTTAAATTAAGCTTAACAACAGTTATGTTTTAAAGCACGCTTTTAATTCACAAATTAATTTCGAGAAAAATTGGCTTTACAATCAGGATTAAAGCTGTTGAAAGCTCGGTAAAAAATTACTGCAGTCGGAAATAATTTCTAACTGTAGGGGAAAGTAGTCAACAGTAAGGCAGTTTTTGTTCAACAATTTTTCATTTTTTTTAAATTAACACGCTACGAACAAGCCCTTGACTCTATAAAAAACCTCTATAAATACCTATATAATAGGTATTGTGTTGACTTAAAAAAAGTTTCAGTCTAATCTAATTTAGTTTCAACCTGAAATGTAAAGGTAATTGTTTGTCTCATTGTTCCCCACGAGTAAGAGGAAGTTTACTGTTCCAAAACGTTAAAATAATTTTATTTTTCAAAATAATAGACAATAGAAAAACCAAGTGCTGGCAATTTGCCTTTACCTGAGCACCACAAATTATTTAAAATTACTTTAAATTTGATCAAACATGAGCGAAGACAGCAAACTCATCTTTTCCGGGACGCCTGGAAGAATTAGAGTGCAAAGAAATGGAGCAGGCGTATCTTCCTCAAGAAACGCGTACGTTCTACAAGAAACTCTTCGCATCCTTCAAAGCAACGATGAACACCTGAATGGCACAGAGGTGGAAAACCAAGACAAAATAATGAATGGCTTCATTGGCATAGCTACTGGAGGAGTGGACAGAAGTATCCCAGTATATAGAAAAAGGGTGACAAGTTACAATGTGAAAACTATTGGCATAGCTACTGGAGGAGTGGACAGAAGTATCCCAGTATATAGAAAAAGGGTGACAAGTTACAATGTGAAAACTATCGAGCGATCACTACAAATTGCATTTCTAGATTACGACGCCTATCGTCACTTGCAAGCAGATTTTAAGAAAGTTTTCAAGTCGTCTTTGTGAACGGCTGATCGACAATAGACCAAATCTTTTCGTTGCAGCAGAACCTTTCAAAAGTGTCGCGAATATCAAGCCCCTATTTACCACCTTTTCATCAGATTATGGATGAGAATGCTTTTCCCGGGAAACTGACCAGAACTATGAAGGCTACGATGGATGATGTACAGTGCTGTGAAGATACCGAGTGCGTTATCGGACGTGTTTGAAACACGAGAAGATGCGAGACTAATAAATCCAGGTAGCTCGTTTGTTTAGCTGACGGTTTGTACACTAGGGGGTTGTTCATATATCCCTTGGACATGTTTTGAACGAGTTTAGACCCCATTCCCTTGCATTGACAGTCATTTTGAAAAAAAAAAACGTATAATTTTATAGACCACCCAGCAGTTTCATGCCTAAAATATGAACCTGTGCAAAAAATGCTTAAGATTGAGAAGGTTTAGAAGTGGCGTAACATTTTAAAGTAAATAATTTTCAAATAATTTTTTAATTTGTATGTTAGCTAACTCACCAATCAAAGATTGTTCCCCCAAATACACTGGGGCTAGAAAATCATCTCATGAAGGATTTATACGAAAATATTCATTCTGGAATGTCTAGTCATTTCGTCTAGTCTAGTCACGTACAGAAAATGAGCTTAATTGGTTGGGGGACAGCTGAGAAATACCAGTGGGTGTACTGCACAAACCACCGCGCTATTTGGGAGATTCCTGTACTGAGAAATAAATGATTCTTTTTTTTATTCAATTAGGGGAAAGGGCTCTAATGTTGGCCTATGGATCTAATATTGGGCCCATCGCTAAAAAGCAGCTATTTATCAATTTTATCTAGATGAACGCGTCATTGGGACGCTACTAATGGATATTTTTGGTCACTATTGAAAATTTAGTCGAATGCTGAATGTATGTATAGGCCCAAATTAGGGGCATTTAGGCCGACATTACATCAATTTCCCCTATATTAAAATTTGCCTATTTTAGATGCACCTGGTGTTTTGATTAGAACATTAAATTTCGAGCATCTTTCCAGGGTGTATTCGGAATACCTCCACATGTTGGCCAATTTGGTCCTGGGTTCTAAATTTGACAAGGATTGATCTTGTTTTAATGTTTTCATGTAACTTTATGTATCGCACAAAGGATTTTGGCTCTAACTTGAAACTGGCAACGCCCTCGGGGGTGGATGTGACCAATGTCACTTGATATGTCCCATTTTGTCTAGGATTTCGAGTTCTGTTGATATTTAAAATGTGTTGCATGATAAGTTTTAGTTTTAGTCATAAACTGGCCACTTCCTCGAGGGTACCCGGAACATGGCCCGATGTGACCAATGTGGTCTTGAGCACTCGGTTCGGCTATCATTGACTCGTTTAAGAATTGTGATGTAATTTGAGGTGTTGCTTGATAGATTTTGGTTCTACACTGAAAAAAGGCCCAACCTCTACTATTTCGTAGGTTAAAATTGAAAACAAAATACCACTAAATTTCGATATTACAAATATTGCATTTGAATTAAATACTACTGTTTTCGATTTTACCATGCTCACCCTGAATAGTCAAAAGTGTAAAATAAACCATTCTACTTGGTATAAACAAATACAATGGTAGGCAGGTCAAGGAAATGGCCGAATATGTTTTTAGTTAACCAAAATGTAGCTGAACCTACTGTTATTCATGAAAATTGTATTGCAAAACTAAAATGGCACGGAATTGAGGCTTTCCCTATTTATGTATCCCTATTCGATTGGCCAGCTTTATCATATTAAATTCTTGAAAAATTATACTCGATTAGAATCCAGAATAAAGTTGTTCTGTAAGTACATTTTTTAGCAATCAATAATTGATCAATGATTCATCATGATCTGTACAGTAAACAATGTGAAGTGTGCAAGAATTGAGTGGTGTGCAACAATTGGCAAATTACTCTAGAAGAGAACGTAGATAAAACTCGTTCGAAATGGTTTATTGTGATGTAAGGGGCTTGGTGTGTTAGTGTTGCGTCCGTTTTTGCTTTCTAAGCAAAAGGGTGGGTTTTATCCCAAGCTCCTTTACATTATTGATCGCATCGTTTGCTTATCAGGCCTATTATTCATATGTTTATGATTTGAATCCGCAATAATCATTTGTACATTTAGCTCTGCCATTAATAAACATACGTTTTTTATATCTTTTACAGGCAATGTAAAGAGGAGCTGGCTAAAAACAGGAATTCTTCTATACCTGGCCCTGATTTAGAGGTAAGTTAGCATAAGATTGGTTTTCTGAAAATCACGATTCTGTAAGGAATTAATACAGCATTTTTCAACTTCGCACCTACACCAACCTCTCATCTAAACATTTAAATCATTGGTCTAGTAAGAGGTTACATTGAAGTTTGAGGATCAATTGCCATCCATGTATCTTATTGATGATTCTGTGACACTACCCCGAATGTCACTACCCCGAACGCCATAACCCCGAATGCCATTACCCCGAATGTCCTACTACCCCGAATGGCCATTACCCCGAATGGCCATTACCCCGAATGCCCTACTACCCCGAATGGCCATGTATGTATGTATGTATGTATATACAATCCAACTTCCACTGTCCGGCAGTGTTTTTATGGAAGAAAAATGTTTGCAATATAATCTATTATTATTATACTGACCTCATTGCAAACAATTTTAGCCCGGAAGTTGAAAGGCGATAGCTCTGTTGAGATTCAGTAACCCATTTCAGAATGCCTGGTCACTCACGTCCATTCCGAGGTTACTTTCACTTACAACAAGCCCCGCATACACGTAGTACCGATATAAAATGTATATTGGTCCTGCGTGTACACTTCCATCATCAAAGCAATTCCTGCTTTGTAGATGGCACGTATTTAGTAGGATGCATTTCATATTTTTATATCTAGTTGTAATCAGTTAGATCTCACCGCTTATGTATTGTGTCCTCGACGTGGAAGGATCGTAGTCTAATCTGCAAAATCATCTTTCCCGGTTATTGTCCAGGGGGCAGAACGCCAATACCAAATACGTAAAAAGACGCGGCAAACGTTGCTTCCGGGAGTGGAGGCGTAGCACCGAAACACACTAGCACGACGCTACAGCAACACAACTATTCAAAAAAAAATTCTAACCCGGGAATTTTCACAATAATTTACAATATAAAAACACCGATAAATTAATCATGATGAATCTATATTCACATGATAATAATGAAAACGAATTACTTTTTTCCTTGGTACAAGCCAAACAGCACGCGGAAAACACGGAATTTGTGACAGCGAAATTAAAACCGACCGTTTGCGGGCAGAGCCTACTGCGCACTCCTCCCTTACTACCCCGAATGGCCATTACCCCGAAATTAAGACAAATGAAAGAACAGCAAGGGGTCAAAAGAAGGGTACATTTTTAGAAGGAAATTTCGTTTTGGAATTTATATATATATTTATATATAGGGAAATTTACGTATTCTCGTCAATCTAAGCAGTGTCCACACTTCTATTAGCATTTTCTCAGCGTCACGTTCTCAGCGTCACGCACATATATGACGTGTCTGTTGGTTTACATTCATCTGCTGCTTGCTTCTCTATCCATTTTAATCGACAGAATTCTTCAAAACTGTTTGAAAGCGTTTTTACAACGCTCCAAACTTCTCAGGTGAGTGTGACTATTGTCGGCAGCCTCGTTTTCTTCGGCAACCTTCCCATTAGAACTGCGTGTTAACCAGCTGTTCTATTATCGGCAACTTGAAATCAACCCCATTTTAGAGTACGTATGCTTCATTTGAAGAAAAATCTGCCATAACAGGACTGCTCAGACGTACACATACAATCAGACTGAAGCTGAAAGACTAAAGAATCGTTTGGATGCATTCAGGGAAGTGTGTTGATGGGAAAACATAGTGAAATTAACTACGTTTAAATTTTGGTTGCCGAAAACAGTCAATGGGTGCCGAAGCCGACATTTACCCTATTTATATTATTAAATGATAATTTTTTATTAGAATTTTGAAGCTTGCAAGCGAGCAAGCTTGTTTTACGCGAGAAGCCCGAGAGATGTCGTTACTGAGGTCCTATGTTTTGAGATACTATGTTTTCAAGAAAAACCTTTTCAAAGTGTTATGTCTGTTGTCTGTGATTAAACTCTCTGATTAGTTTCACTTTACTAAATTGATGATACACTACGTTTACTTTTATGGAACTATGTATTTATCAATTCCAAACCATTTTAAAGCTCTTTAGAAAATGACAACCTTCAAGATTTCGAGCACTTCGTTCACCATTTAAAAAGTCAAAGGGTCTAATATGCAATCCAATTCAATATGCAATACCAGTCGGAAACTGTTAAACCTTATCAAAGAATTGTTCGACCTGAGTCTAGACCTGAGTTGAAGAATTTCTCGTTATGGATTGAAAAATCGGTGCATGGAACGTTGAACTATCGATTACAAATTTATAACATTATTCCACACGTTATTATCCCAAATGGTCATTACCCCGAATCCCTTGCCAAAAGTTATTGATTACATATTTTCCTTATATATTAAAAGAAGGGAATATTCCCTTCCCTTCTTTATCATACATCCAAAGAATAAATTATTTTCTTTTTAAATATTCAAAGAAAGGAATATTCCCTTCTTTATCGTTCATCCAATAATTAATTATTTCCTTTTGTTATATTTTCAAAGAAGGGAATATTCCCTTCTTTATCATATATTTACCGAATTGATTATTTTCTCTTTTATATATTAAAAGAAGGGAATATTCCCTTCTTTATCGTATATCAAAAGAATTAATTATTTCCTATTGTTATATTTTCAAAGATGGGAAACCCCCTTGAGCCATTAAGGGGCTGTTCATTAACTACGTAGACAGTTTTTTTTGGATTCTTGACTCCCCCCTTCCTTCCCCTGCGTTGACAATTTTCCATACAAAATTTTTAAAATTTGTATGGACCGTGCACAATTGCCAAGTTACAGCAAACATCAATGGTTGTCAACAGCGTTAGCGAAGAAAGCTTCTTCCTGGCTTTTGACGTTTCCATCTGAACAACTTTGCAGTTGCTGAAGACAGCAAAAGACTATCGAGTTGTCTTTAACAGTCAAGTTAATGCAAAAAATGCGTAGCAGCGCCACCTGATGAGTGAATTCTGAACTATTCATCATTGTCCATCTGAATAGCTTTGCTGACGACAGAAACATATCTATCTTTTGAGCTATCAAGTTAGCCGGCGCTGGTGGTGTAGTGGTAAGCGCCACTCGGGGGCAACTTGACAGCTCCGGTATATTGCCAGTGTACCCCGACAATTTGGTGATGGTGGTTCTGTCAAACTCACAAATTTCAGAAGTGTTATCTTAAAAGGGCGGATGCGGAAATGATGTACAGTAAACAAAATTAAAGTTTAAAATTCATCTTATTGTCGCGCACTCACCAAACCGCACACACGATGTTAGTGACATAGGAACTCCAGTGATGCCAGATAAAAATTTCGCTTAGATTCTCAGTAGTATGCACAATTAAGTATCAGTTTATGAAACTTTTTTTTTGTGTGTGTACCGTATATGAGCAGTACATAACCAAAAGCTTAAACATATGATTTGTAAAAGAAAATAGATGATTGTCATTGAATTAATGGGAACAAACGAGATTTGAACAAAGAGAAAGCATGGTTTTGCAGCGAGTAAGAGTGTACTAATTATACGCAGCTAATACTGTAAAATGTATAATTTGAGGTACTAACATAAAAGAGTACAACGTTAGTACAATGATAGTACAACGATTGTTCAACGATAGTACAACGTGTACTTTGTACGTATGTCGAAGGCCTCTAATGAATTTAAGCTAAATATGAGATATGTTGTTTAATTTGTCTAAATTTTAAATATCTTGCTAAAACGGATCTGCAACCATTACTTATGTGCAAAAATCATCATAGCTCAATTTCAGCTAATATTCTAGAAAATTCTGATTAACAATCACTTCACTTATATGATCCCTACATTTTCAGCGTTATTCATGGTATTTGTATTGTCATTGTCACTATGCCCATAACTGTGTAACTAAATAATAGAGCATAGCATGGTGAGGAATAACGTTAATGATACGGATGGATGTAACAAAAAAATAATCACTTTAATTTATTCCTTTTAGAAGCTCACTTTAATTTTTGTGTGAGACCCTTATTTGATTTATCAAGATATTGCGATGATTGTTTACTGCATCCTGCATACATGCTCATTAGGATTCTATTTTCAAGCCGTTCGTAATATGTTCCAACGTTGAAATGTTTATGGTGATTATTGAGTATTTTCAATTTAATTTCCGAAGAATCAAGAATCCATGTCAGAAGAATACACAAAAACACAAGAACACAAGAATAGAGTAACACGGGAAAGTAAACTTTTGTTTTTTTATATGGCGAGCCTTTATCGCACCACTATGATAAAAAAAATGAAATCTGTAGGCTGATTATATTCAAGAGGAAAATAAAATAGAAGACACCAAAGTATTTTTCTTGGCATTTGATTATATAAGTTCACCCCATCAATCGGTTTCAATTTGTTTGGATTATTTCATTTGACCAATAATAAATTCGCTCTTATCATATAGCATTCTTGCTTGTTGTTTGACATCCACACATGGAGAAACAAAAGGTTGGATTTCCATAGAGAAATGCCATTGCGGCGGTGAAGGACAATCCCTTTGTTTATGTTGTGTGGCGACATCTACTATTTGCAAGTGGGTACGTGAAACTAAGGTTATCTGTCACCTTGCTCGGGTTTTGGGTAAGCGTGACTGCATTCTCACCCCAATGGGTCTGGGTTCAATCCCAGCCGAGGTCGGTGGGATTTTTCTGAGGCATAAAAATCTCTGGTCACGTTTTCCTTCGGAAGGGAAGTAAAGCCGTTGGTCCCGGCCCATGTGTGTTGAATGCGTGCGATATCCTACGCAGGTGTGAAAGCTGCCTTCCTGCACATTCGATGCCAATCGATGTCCTTCGGTGATTGACACTAGATTGCGGAACAGAGACCATTTGCAGAGGAAATTTTTATAACGAACTAAAGGTGCTCCTATGAGCAATCCGCTTTCTCCATTTTTATTTGAATTGTTCATGGCTAACCTAGAAAATACTCTGGAGGATAGGAATTTGTTGCCCAAGTGATGGTATAGGTACGTCGATGACATTTGTAGCATAGTCAAAAGGGAAGATTTATCATATTTTCAGGCCATACGCAACGTTCACTAGGA